AATTTTACTGCTCAAAAATTACGAGTAGTGGTAAAGAGGAAGTTATCCAGCCTTTCTCTTCTCAACTAAATAAAAACATTTATTGCCCACCTTAGGAGATAAAATCAGTCTTCCTGAGAGCCAGTGAATCAATTCTATAACCTCCCACAAGATTCTTCTCAAATAATGTGCAGAAAGAATCATCACAGCCTTCAGCAAAGAAGTTGAAGAAACATCCCACTGTTTCTGTGATTCACTGATGAGTTTATCAGAGTCAATAATTTTCTCGTCAACAGAAAGATCCAACTTCACCCTCTTCCAGTTCAGTTTTATATTTAAGTGATACCTTGCAGTTTAAAGAATAAACTTTAATCAAGTAAAAAAAAACAAAACAAGCCAACCCTTGACATCATACTATGTCATAGATAAAGAGGGCTGTCACAAATGTCACCCCATTGTGTCCCCAACCACCTCAGACTTATGTATAGGTACATATTCCATGGCCAGGGAATTAGTGGTCCTCTCATCCCATCGGGCTGGGCAGAAGAAAAAGGGTCCCAGCCCACTATTTCTCCTTTACCTTTCTCCTTGTGTTCATTTTCTTCTGCCAGGAAAACCAAGAAGCTTTATAAATATTTTTGTCATAGTGATCTCCTGCTCACAGGGACTCAAAAGAAAGTTAAGAGCCCATGATTATCTTTAAAATAGATAAATAAATACCACATGCTGGACTAGGTGAGCACCTGTTTTCCACTCAGAGGCTAACCACTCGCTTCAACCCTTCCATCAGCCCCCCGGCCCCCACAGCCAGGCCAGAACCGGTAGGCTCACCCTGATCTGACAAACAACATGACGGCAGCCCCAAGAAAGCAGTCCCTAAAGTCAATCGCGGGGCCCCCTTCTCACTAAGTGGCCACGAGGGCTCCTCCTCAGAAAGACGTGACTGACAGTAAGTAGCAGGGTGACTTTTCCCACTACCACCATCAGAACTCACCCATCGGTGCCACTTGCTGCATACCTAGCACCTCCCAAAGCCAAAAAGGCATAAAGAAGCGCATCTTGCTAAGGGGTGCACAGCCAAACCAAGACAAAGCACAGATGCTCAGAGACACAAGTCAAAGTCAAGGTGGCCTGATGCTGAGAGGCTGAGAGTGGTCCTCGGGGAAGGGCTTGGCGACCACTCGCTGCTCACCCGCCTCTATAACGGATCACTGCAAAACAAACACTGAACACTAGCTTCACTTTTTAACTTGTTTCACAAAAGCAAAATCTTCTTTGCATTTCTTTGGGTTAGGGAAAACAGGGACTAATGTGGGCATTTCCTAAGTGTCAAGAGGAATAAAGCAAGGGGGTGCCTGCACCGCGGGGTTATGCAGGTGTCAGGTGGCAAGGGTGGCATTTCACACATGTGTTCCTGGTGTGAGTATCACATTCAGGGCCTTTTCTAAAAAGATTTCAATTATTTATTTTCAGACAGAGGGGAAGGGAGGGAGAGAAACACCAATGTGTGGTTGCCTTTTGCACACCTCCGACTGGCGACTGACCACAACCCAGGCATGTGCCCTGGACTAGGAATCAAACCAGCGACCCTTTGGTTCTCAGGCCAACACTCAATCCACTAAGCCATACCATCCAGGGCACATTCAGTTTTGAAAAGCTTATCTATCTGAGGCTCAGATCTAGATTTCTCCCTCCAACCAGAAAAAGTAATAGTAGTATATTTGTGTGTGTGTGTGTGTACATGTATGTACATATAGAAGAAAGTTGTCAAATATTAAGATTTTAAAAGTGAAAATGCTAGGGAAGTCCAGTGGGTCAATCAACATGGCCCTCAGGCCCAAGTTAAGAAATACCTGAGGTCAGAATGGCACTTCATAGGCACATCTTTTCTAGGCACATATTTTATAGGCACATCTGTTGTACTTACAAGAAGCCTCAGTCAACCTAAAACTACCAAGAGGTGCCATGATTTGGTACCAAATGTAAACAGAATCCTGTACCCACATACTGGGTTTCTTCTGGCAGTCTGCACTGAGAGTGAGTGGATGTATCACCCCAGCATTCACACATGGCAGAGAACCCACAGACATCTGATGACCCTAAAGATCCTTAAAGCCTCTAAGCTAAGGCAAGCAAGCCCAGTGTGCTAATCATCACATTCAGTAGGAGGCTGAGACCTTCACTCAGAGCTTTAAAAGGTATTCTAAGGCTCACTTTACTGCAAGCAGGATTTTCACAATATGAATTTCACTAAGGCACAAACTGAATAGGATCGTGTCGGTATAATCCTCACATATACTCTGCCAGCTGGGATCCTGGATGTTGAAAGGCGCCCGCCTCACCATGGGCCTGAAACCACCAATCTGTTTCACACAGGTCACTGCCCAGCCGTCAGATGGAGACGCAACGTGGTCACTGCCCCAGTGAATAGATCCAAACACCGACATGGAGGGCAAAGGCTACAGCTCCCATTTCCAATCTCCCGAGCCACCCCCATCCCTCTGCAATGGACTATCAATAGAGAGACTAAATGGTTTGTTTGCTTAATTGTGCTGTGCCAGCTGAATAATTGCACGCTTTCCAGGAAGGCTCTGTAACCAATGAGATGGCGTTGGATCTGCCAAAATCTTTACCTTGAAGCCAACATCCTTTCTTCCTACAGTCTCTCTCTTATCACAAATAATGGCAACCTGGTATTATTTCCAGAGGAGACAAAACCATGGCAGAAACATCAAAAATCATGTCTTTCAAAATGGAAAAATCTCCATTAAGCTGCACCCACCAAGAACGGCTATCTGCATATGTGCCAACGTAAAACCTTCCTCCCAAACACTGATTTACTCCATTACACACTGAAACAGCCCACAAACAGCAGAATAATCTACCTTTTGAGTGGACGAAATTGGTCCACCACATGTGATGACCACATGTTAAGAGGTAAGAGAACTATGAATAAAATAAGGGGCTTAGGGTTGGGAGCCTATCTTTTAAATATCAAATATTGTGCAAGAAGACTAGAGAGATGGAAAATGGAATATTATCTATTCATCACAGACTCTTCAGGATAATAAAAATCAGTTAGTACCAAGATAGAAAATACTGAAATAAGATATCTTAGGTAAAAAAAGAAAATGCTTATGGGTAGCGACAAGAAAATTTTAGCCAAAGAAAACTCTACATCACTTAAGTCAAGAGAAGAAAGCTAAGAAAGATGTCTTTTTTAATAAAGATTTTATTTATTTATCTATAGAGGGGAAAGGAAGGAGAGAGGGAGAGAAATATCAATGTATGGTTGCCTCGAGTGCGTCCCCTGCTGGGAACTGGCCTGCAACCCAGGCATGTGCCCTGACTGGGAATTGAACGTGATCCTCTGGTTCACAGGCCTGCTCTCAATCCACTGAGCTACACCAGCCAGGGCGGGGAGATGTCTTTATAACTCTTTCCCTCCAACTTGTTTGTAGCACTCCACACTTATTTTGTTTTCACTTAGTTATTTTTGAACAGGTATCGCTTCAAAAACATGGTTCAAAATGGAAACATCTCTCTCCTACCCCAGTCTCTGGCCACCTTTCCCTCAACCCTGACCACTGTTCCTAGTTCTTATGTTTCTCTCCAGACCAGAGATCTAAATATTCTTTAAAGTCAATTTATTTTATCATAATTGCTTGCTATATGTTCTTGTCCATTACTACTTTTTTCTTTCAATTTCTTGCAATGGTTTTTCATAAAAATAATCAGGGTCTTTCTCCTCAACAGCTCTATGTTTATGCAGTTTGAGATTCTTCAACGGCCATTCTTTCTCAGACGCCTTAATCCCCTGTGACACCATCGAATCCACACGTCTCACCAACACGATTAGAACTTTGGAGGGACAATATGCTTCAGGATCCAACAGGAAAGCAAAGATGCTATTTTTTATACAAATATCCTTCAAAAAAAACCCCAAAGAGTTTTAAAACAAATAGAAAATATAACGTGTAGCTGCCACCAAACCAAAGTTCTGAGAGTTTCTGAGTCCTGACAGCAAGTGTTATCTTGATTCAAGGGCAGCTGGCTTGCGTTTTAGGACATCGACCTCCTCTGGTTTTTCAGGTTCAGATGGGCCCACAGCAGTACTGGTCTGAGTACCTTTGAATGTGTCTGGGAGTGGGAAAGAGGTGATGGGTGTTGGGAAGGGAGCTAGGAGGTGCCTTGAAGAGACCCCCAAGGAGTCCTTGCTAAGACAATATCCACAAGGAAAGGAACATGCAAACTGCAAACCTAACAGGTTCCTGTCCTGGTTTTGTCATGAACTTCAGGTACTGTTGGCCTTAATTCAGTCTCATTTATAAAATGAGGATTTGATAAGGTCTGAAGTCCTTTTTACTTTTAACCTTCTCATTCTAAGATGCAATTTCTCTCCATAAATTGACTGGTATGTCTGTTCCAAGAGAATAAAATTCCTTTGATTTCTCACAAACTTATTTGCTCTGAAATAACAAATTTTATATACCTAAAGTGGTTTAAAATCCCCATCAGGAAAGAGAAGTGAGTATAGTGGACACCTGTAATTTTGAAGATGTCCATCACCCATTCCCTCTCCTGGGCAGCAGGCTGGTTTCTTTTAGGAGAAGTAACCATGTACAATTGGGGGAAGGTAAGTCCAAGTGTCTGCCTCCCTCACTACAAAAGCTTAAAAGGAACCTGGAAGCTCCTTCTGCCAGATTCTCCTCTCATCCATCAGTACATCCATTGGACGGACATGTGCCCCATCAAATTTGCCCCCCAGGACTCTGAATCTTTAGCAGAACAACAACAAGAACAAAAGAAACAGAGTTCATTCTTTCCGGAAGTGGTCCCCCGGGAAAACTAATGAACAATGTCTCCTACAAAGTCTTCGGTTCTTCAGCTTGTCTTTTAATCCTTCAAATAACCCCATAACCTTCCAATTAATTCTCTTTCTACTTTAGTTAGTGGTTTGTTGCATAACAATCCACTCTAAAAGTTAACAGCTTTAATATAAGAGCCATTTATTTACTCACAATTCTATAGATGGGCAATCAGGGTAGGGCTCAGCTGGGATGGTGTCTGTCTGCTCCATGTGGTGCCTGCTGCGTTCACATAAGCATCTGCAGTGAGTAGGCAGATCTGCTGGGGGCTGGCTGAGCTCAGATTGCCTCACTCACTTGCTGCTCGCTGCAGCTGTCAGCTAGGACCCCTAAATTCTCCATGTGGCCTCTCATCCTCCAATAAGCCACGTTGGGCTTCCTCAAACAATGGGGAAATGTTCTGAGAGAACAAAAGCAGAAGTTGCAACTTCCCTTCCACCTCATTCTATTGGTCAAAGGTAATTTAAAACCAGCCCAGATTCGAGGGATGGGAAATAGCCTTCAGCTGTGAATGGAAGGCGTGGCAAAGAAATCTCACCGAGCAAAGTGGCTACAGGGAGGTGTGATTCACTGGAAGCTATTATTGTAGTAGCTTACCAATTTGGAGTTAGTTTCTGTTGCTTGCAATTTAGAAATAATAACTAATCTACCAACCAGTGAAATGTGACTGGAACATATTAGATTGGAGATGAGGAGCCTCAACATTTAAGACCTTTTCTCCATTTATACCTGTCATATTAATAAGATTCTCTAGAGAGAATGCGGGTGTCATGGTGGTGGAGGTACAAGAAGCAATGCAATTATCATGATTCAAAGCCTGCCCATTATTTAGCTGTGTATTTTCCAACAAGAAAGAAAGAAAGAAAGAAAGAAAGAAAGAAAGAAAGAAAGAAAGAAAGAAAGAAAGAAAGAAAGAAAGAAAGAAAGAAAGAAAGAAAGAAAGAAAGAAAGAAAGAAAGAAAGGGAAAGGAAAGGAAAGGAAAGGAAAGGAAAGGAAAGGAAAGGAAATGAAAGGAAAGGAAAGGAAAGGAAAGGAAAGGAAAGGAAAGGAAAGGAAAGGAAAGGAAAGGAAAGGAAAGGAAAGGAAAGGAAAGGAAAGGAAAGGAAAGGAAAGGAAAGGAAAGGAAAGGAAAAGAAAAGAAAAGAAAAGAAAAGAAAAGAAAAGAAAAGAAAAGAAAAGAAAAGAAAAGAAAAGAAAAGAAATAGAAGGAAGGGCATCCTAGACTGAAAAGGCTAAAGGTAAAAAGAACTTCAGAGCTCACCAGGGCCAGAGTCCTCATTTTATAAATGAGAAGACTGAATTAAAAACAATTAGGCCAAAGGTACAAGGAGTTCAAGACAAAACCAGGACTAGAACCTGGGGCTAGGTTCTAGTCCTGGTTCCCTGACTTACAAAATTTGTATACATTAAATAGTGTGACTATGAACTACCAGCGACCTTCACTTTACACTGTATGTAGTACAGGACCTTAAACATCACCATGCAAGCTGGGCTGCAAAATTGTCTTAATGGGAAATACTACAATTGTTCTGTGTCCCTGAAAATTGTTGTCAGAACATGAAAAATTCTCTCACTGTCACTTATAAACATATAGGAAAATGAACAAAAGAATACAACTAATACTCAATACATTTCTATTTAAAGTACTGAAATCATTGAAAATAGGTATTTTATTCTTTCTAAGAAACTTTACCAAGACTGATTTGAGCGCTTGCCTAGCCACCACAGACCCACAGTCTGCAGTCAGCACATTTCTACGCTTTGGCAAATTGTTACACTGTTTTCTAGGTTTGCATCTGCTTCCAACATTTTTATCCCTTGTATGTTCAACGCCATGTCAGTATCTCTGAGAGTTCCTTCATGTGAAGTTTCTGCTCATCTCTCGTCCTCTGGGACGTTGTCATCCTTCCATCAGAACCACCGTCTCCACCGGTGGCAATGCACCTGCCTGCCCCGAGCCCCTCTGACCACAAGCCTCATGGGAGGCAGCAGGGACCACATCCCACAACCAGCTAACTCTCCTCTGCCTCATCTGTGTCTGACTCAAACTTCACTACCAAAAAGTGTCATCACTTTTGTTTCTTCCACGCACTTCCATTTTTGTTGACCAATGCCTTCTTATCATTATCCACACTTGTAAAATGTGCCACGGGTTTATCGCTGGTAAACAAGGAGGTGACACAGATACACACGGGGCTGTCTGTTTGTGAACTGAATAACAGATGCACAGTGACCAGTCCCTGAAGGACTTGGGAAGACGGGGCATGATGGGGTGCTGATCGTGGTGTGTGTCCATCCCTTATGTAGCGACTTGTGAACTGAAGAGCCAGCGGCAAACTTTGTACTCCACACAACCTCTCAGTTAATATATTTGGTAATGGAAATGTGAACCACGTTGTCGGGAGACTGGTGTTATTTAAACTGTGGTAACCGACATTGGTACATATCAGAACTATGCAAAGCAAGGACTGTCGGTATTAAAGACCATGTCATTTGGTTATTGCCACAGTTGTTATTCGAGAGCGAAAGCCTAGACTGCATTATTACTGTACTGAAGAAGGAGCTCCACTTAATTCAAACACGTGCTAGATCTTTGCCACTGCAAGGCCTGCAGGTTGATGCTAAATGTAGGCAGCCAGGAGGGGAAGAGAAAGGACTGGAAAAAACACCTGCATTTTCATCCTTTCACATTGGCCTGGAGGAAAATTCCTGGAGAGGAAGACAGAGCACACCGAACCCAAAGTTCATCCAAAATGATGAAAGATATTATCCACATTGAGTGTATATATTTCTTATTACCCTCTACTTCCAAGGCAGAAGGAAAATATTTCAATATAGCTTTTCATGTGTGTGGCTGGTGGTCTCTTAATACCCATTTGCCCTTCTTTTTTAGTTGCAGGACCTCAGTTTTTTGGCTAGTTGTGCTGCCACCCATATTTCCCAATGTCTAGGTTTGTCTGCATGGTTTAATACTTACAAGTGAAATATAAATAAAATGATTGTGGGAATTTGGGGAAATTCTTAAAAGGAGCTTATGTGATTAGGAGAAGCAACTTTTTATCCTTCCTACTACCTAGAATATAAACAAAATATTACAAAGTATCATCTTAGACCTTGAGGTTGTGTTGAGAATGGAGGCCAGGCATTGGGGTGTTGGAACCAAAATACAGAAGGAGCCTGAAGTCCTTCATGGCCTCATGCAAACATCGTACCAGCTCTGGGCTGTCCCTTGCCACGCTGTTTTATGTGTCTGTAAGCCACTCTTTCCTGTTCTTTCTTACCCACATCTGCATGCAGTTCCTAATTGATGAAATGAATACTCGTACCTAGTCAATGGGTTATTTCAGTGGCCCAAGTGGCATGGATCAACTCTTATATCATTGTGCACAACGAAAGTCCCAAATGAGGCAGAAACACATGGGTAACACAATAGCACCTTCCACATACCAGCTGTTGAATACTTAGGGGGACAAAAGCTTATGGTTGCTTGCAAAGTCCTAATACAGATTCAAATAACTAAAATTCAAACACAGACCTAGTTAAGACCCCTTAGAACAACAACAGAAAAAAGAGAGAGAGGAGAAAGTAGGAAAACAAGTAACAGCAAGCTTGTTATAAATCAGAAACTGTGGCTAGAAAATAGAAACCCAAAAATAAGGCTGCATTCATATAAGTATCTAGAAGAAATTACAGGAGGTGCTAGCTCAGTGCTGGTCCCATGTTTAAGTGTTATTAAAAAAAAGAAGTAAATTGAGACGAGGGCAATCAAGGTGGTCTGGACATACCATTTTGTGGAAGATGGGAGGAGCAACTGAGGTTATATAGGTGGAAGCAAAGAAGACAGAGTAGAACTTTAATTGGTATTTCAAACATCTGAAGTGCTTCCTTGTAGAATAGGGCTTTGCTTCCATCTGAATAGTTTCTAGAAGAATTAAGACCAGTGAGTGAAACAAAAATAAAACATATTTCAACTCAATAAAAGGAAAAACCTTCTGAGAATTAGAACTTTGCAAAACTGGAATGCACAAGTTTGTAAGGCAGTGCATTATCTGACAGTGGTAGACTTTTTAAAAGTAAGGACTACAGTGGAATTCAGGACTTATTCTGGTGTTCAGAATAGGAAATGAAAACACTGTTGTATCTCAAAATCCTTGAAAAACTGATTTTTATTCTGGGGTTACTATCATGAAGGATAGTGAGGAAGGGAGCTCAGCATTGATGGGAAATTGGACCAGGTGCCCTTCCAATTCTACCATTCTATTAATACAGCATTTTTCTGTTGAACATGGTGGTTAACATGGAATGATCCAGGCATCGAACAAATAGTCCCTGAGGAAAGTGATGATGAGAGTATTGGCCAGAACTCTTCCAACTGTGTAAATGGATGAAACCAACTCAAAATAGTTTGAGGGGGAAATATAAGAAATTCATTGGCAAGGCTAAATCTGCCTTCAAGCATAAAGGCTCAAATAATGTGGTCAGAAATCTTCCCCAGCCTCTTGGGGCAATTTTCTCGGAGCTGGCTTCAGTCTCAGGTCACGTGCCGAAGCCCAGCCTGGCCTTCGTCGGCTTCAGACTTTATTCTCTAGCTTCGCAAATGTCACTGACTTAGACTAACCTGGCTTCAGCCACAGCTACTGTGGATTTTGGCCAGATTTGGGTCTCATGAACTGAGAATAGGACAGGGGTGGTTTCTACAAGGAAAAGGAGGCTTCTGCAGTAAGGGATACTGCAAAGATAAAAATAATAAATGTCTACCACAATGACAGCAATAAATGTGATAGATTTTTAAATGGCAACTTCAGTGGAATTCTGGGCCTAACCTGAATTTCAAATGAAAAAGAGAAGCATCATTGTATCTTAAAGTCCATGAGAACATGAAGTGAATTTCATTCTAGGCCTTAATCTAAAATTCTAATACTCAGGCAAACAACAATTTTAACATGTCTGTCTTTCCAACAATTCCCCTTTATTTCTTAAGATACCTCTGTTCACAGACAGCCTCATCAGACAAAGTAATAATGAATGATAAGCATAAGATGTTTACTGAAGTGGATGAAGGCACAGCAGGTACAGAAAAATTCTTCATTAATAGCTGAAAAAATCTTTCTCTGTATTTAATATTTAGGTGACATATTTCTATTTCAAGAGAAGTAAACATTACAGCCATGAATAGCAAACAGAAACACAAACTCATTTATTTGTAAAATAAACTCATTTTCTTTTCATATCAATGCAAAAAATGACCCAATGCCACATGTTCCATTTGCTATGATTCTAAGACAGCAAAGCTATACAATTTCTAGATCATTAA